TGAAGGCTCCAATATGTAATTTGGAGCGTGGTTTAAGGAGACCAGGGATGCTGTTCTGTGGACTCAGATCGTTGTCGAAGGCTGCAGAGGTAGGAGAAATTGAAGATGATGCAGCATCATTAATTAAGAGACGTGAAGGAAGATTAGAAGGTAATGATGGAGGAGGAGGATAGCAGTCAGAAGAAACTTGGGTGCTGACAGAGTTGTGAGGGCGGTTGACACTTCCCGGCTGCCCACACCGTGGAAGGCTATTTCTTCTTAAGGTACCTGAAAGAGATTTGTGTGACCGCAGAGCCCATCGGACATCTGCTTGAGGCCTGTCACACCCAGCCTTTTGAGTATGATTATTTTGAATTTTTGTATTTTTGGGGCCGGATGAGCGAAAGGAAACGACAAGTGAACCAACACCGCCGGCCCGGCAGACCGTGGGGCGTGGTGGAGTGTGTTATTTTTGGGGCCGACCTTTTCTAACCCCCCCTTCCACTGAGAAGGCAGCATCAGCTTGGCACTGCTGGTCATCCAAGGGAAACACCTTACTGCTGTCACACCCCATCCAGCTAGCAGCAGTACGACTTCGCCCTCAGACCCCCATCATAGTGTAGCAATTTACACTATAACGGTAACTGCTTTTCGTCTAACCACTACCCAACAGACCTTTCTGGTATGGTAGGACCTCGAGGGAACAAGCGTTCCACCAGCATAGCTCGTACTAGGCACTACTGGAATATCTATCAATGAGGTTGTGAACCTCCATCGACTGAGGTGGTTCGGACATGTACTGTGTATCCCAGTCACCGTCTACATTAACGTGACATGCTAGAAGTAGGATTAGGTTGGAAGAGGATTCAGATCAAGAATCAACACCAGTCGATGAAGCCCTTAACTGTTGGTTTGAGTCGTGTCGGGGGATATAGGCTACGTGGTTGGGGTCGCCGGGATGAAAGGAATTAGTGGTTGAGAATTCCTGGTGACATGGTTGAAAATCAGTCACAGTGGCGCAGATGTATTCACGCCTTCTAAGGCTTGAATATTCACACTAACCATTATCTTCAGATTGCTTATTTTCTTACACAAGTTTGTCTATTTCGATATAGGTCTTTCGTATCCACTTCTTCTTTGTGAACTGCTATGAAGTCTGACAAGTTAACGTGATGGACTTGTGTGCATAGTACTACCTTGATTGTATCATGTTATGGCACCATTTCCAGAATAAGATGACGTGATTGTATTTCACGAAACTTTTATCAGTTGAAATAACCTGAATAAGTAGATTTTGCTTGGTTGTGACTAGTAAAAGTAACTAATACCCGTTTTACAAGAAGTGCCTACCATGTCTATGTGGTATAGTGGATAATGCCTTGGGGTTTGAAGCGATGATTTGAGTCCCAGTGGGAACAACAACATCAATCACCGGCAGGGAAGTACATCTCGCTGACGAGTCCCAAATAGGACGGAAAATGCGTCCTGGATTGTTCTGCTAGCCACAACCAAGCAAAATTATCATAATTAATATTGAGGCGATATCGAGGCATTCGTATAGGAGCCCATATGTTAATAGAAGTCAAACAATTTGATCCAGTAAAACAACCGGGAATTAAAAGTATACCGATAAATAGTAATGGATAAGTAAGTACTTAAATAAGTGATCAGTGTGTTAGATTTTAATATAATGTTGGAAAAAATTTACTGTTGACGCTTCATCACTATGCTTAGCGATATCCTCATCATTAACTCCCTGAAGAAGACTTCTTTGTGCAGTTAAAACTGAGGATAAATATAAAATCAGGACAATAAAAATTTGTGAGGATAGGGAAGACACTTCAGTTGGATGTGTCAATAGTCACTATGGTACCAAGAAGTGTTTGTTGCCCTTTGAACAAACAACTCGAGTCAAATTCGTTGAATAGAATTGCATTCGGTAATTTTAAGTGAATGCAGCGTTCTTTACCTGTTATCTACTGTGAAGGACTTCACTGTAGCTACTTGGCTCCACATATTAGTTATTGCTCTGGTGAATGAAAGCGAACCTTGTTTGAGTAGACATGGAATGAGGTCAATACTGTACCTATAAAAGAGTCTATGCAATGCATGTAAAAATCATCGGGGTGCTAGTCTGTTACCAGTTATGCTATATCGGTAACTTTTAGTATAATTCTACGGCTCAATTTCTTTCAGGACATTCCTAACAACTATGGCCTGGATGCTTATGACTTGTTACGAGTTGCGTCGCAAATATTGGCAGCTATCATACTTCAAAGACTTTGCAGACACGTGCGAAAATGATTCGCAAGGAGCTGGTTGGGTTCCGTTCAGGTTGTGTATGCATTGATCGTTTGTTTACCCTCCACCGGATGATGAAACATCGCCAATCGCATTGCAGGCCAACAATCGTTGTTTCTTGACATTGGAGCTGCCTTCGATTCGTTGGACACAGCTGTACTCTGAAACTGTCTGCTAGAGAGTGAAGTGCCTGGGAAATGTATTAACATTTTGAAAGCCCCATAAGACAACACAGGAAGGCTGAGGGAATACAACCACTTGTCTCTATTGTTCCAAACCGAAAGTGGGGTTAGGCAGTCTCCTTACTTTCCCATTCCTATTTTACTTCGCCATTGATGACATTGCTGAGAAAGCTGTGGAGGAGATGCGTGGTGGTGTGGATCTACTACCCAAAGAACAGCTATTCGACGTGAAATACGTGGACGATATCGTCTTACTGTGCGATAACACAGGCTGCTCAAATCGCACTTAAATAGTTGGCGATTAGGGTCCGTAAGTATGGTATGTGCTTTGCACCACTGAAGTGTGAAGTACTTTTGCCAGATTGGTAGTAGCATGTGTCTGCGCTCTCTCGGTACTCGAAAGGTTCGTTTATCTGGGTAGTTGTTTAACTGCTGGTGGATGTGTGAATGGTAAAATTGCTAACCGCATATCGAAAGCCAGAGTGGCATACGCCAGTCTGGGTCACCTTTGGAACCGTCACGACATAAGTCTGAGCTTGAAAAGTTGGGCTTACAAGACATCAGTGAGAACAATTCTGCTGTACGCCTATGAAACTTAACCCTATGAACTGTGGATGTGCGACGACTCTGTATGTCCGATCACCGTTGTCAATGTACGACTGTTCTCATCTGGTGGCAACACCATGTTAGTAATTCTGAGAAACGATAGCGTGTGTTTGCGCGTGGCGGACATCGTCATCCGGGAACATCGGCTTCAGTAGCTTGGATATGTGTTACGCATGTCGTCCCAACGGCTCCAATACCGTTCATAGTTTTCTAACCTTGAAACTGGAAAGAAGCTAGGGGATGGTCAGTGTATAACGCGGTGCCGTGGAATGAAAGATAGTTGTGTCGGTTTAGTATCTGTTGGTACATCACGAATCAATGGGTGGGCTTCGAGAGACCATGCAACTCAGCAGTGGCTTGAGACATTATCAAATATGGCTGAGAATCGAAACCAGTGGTGGTCATACATTTGCACTCGCAAATACATGTGGATTAAGAAATATATTCGGAGCTAGCAAAACTTAGCAATTGGTTTAAGATGATACGCGATTCAGCATATTTTCTAGTATAATGAGGCAAATTGGGTAGGCAGAAAGGTGCAGACCACTGAACTCATGATCCGTCTGTTGATGTTTGGCGTCACATCACCTCCGTGAAACGCCAAATCAGAAATGTCGGTTTCTTTTTTCCAGTGTTTTAATTCTTTCTCGTCTTCTAGCTTTATTTATCGATACATATTTGATAATTCATATTGTATGTAAGAGTGATGCAGAGATCCTATGAGATTGGTAGAGCACCTTCTTGGAAAGGTCTCCGATAGCGTCGACCGAGAAGTGATTTACCAGCTGACTCATCACTACGCTTTTAGTGCCACAAACTTCATTCGACAGCAATATGCTGTATGATACTACATGCCAAGTGATTCACAATGGAAAGCTCAGTGATCCTTTCAGAATGGAAGTGAAGACAGGAGAAAGACAAGGCTACCTACTACCCATCACCGATGATCTTCCTAATTTTGGTGGACTGGATCATGTAACAGATAACTATGAGAAGTGAGAAGATAGGCATACGCTGGCTGAACCGATGAAAAAACCTTAGCAGAAGATTTGTATTTCGCCGATGATGATTTATGTCTGTCACACAAACTCGAAGATCTATAGGCGAAAACTAACAAGTTGACAGAAGAAGCAACGAAGATGGGACTTCCTTCACGTCAACGTAGACAACACACAAGTGATGTGATGAAGATACCCAACCAACAACAACAACAACAACAACAAGCACCAATCACCATCAACAGGAGAAATCTAAACGAAGTCATTTCTTTCACCTACCTAGTCAAGGAAGCATCGTTTCAACTACAGGTAGCCGCGCCAGCACACATGAGGATGTCACAGCCACGATCGGAATCATCGTCCACTCCACTCAGCACAAAGCGTCAACAACTTCCACATTTTCAAAATTAATTCAGTCAAGTCAGTCAGTGTTTCTATATTATATGCTTGAGAGACTTGACGTGTTAAGAAAAGTATTTCCAACAAACTACACACATACATCATCAACAACTGCCACTTACGCTCACTCCATACTGACACTGAACATCGACCAGATGGCCAGAATAATAAGAATAAGCAAGAAGGAACTCTGGTCTGGCGACCAACCAACCAACCGAGAACCTATCGCCCCACAAATATGCAGTAGAAGCAAGTGGAAATGGATTGGATTGGACGTATACTGAGAGGACCGTTTGGGGACATCATGCGTCAGGCCAGACCAGGCCATCGAGTGTAACCCAAATGGAAAATGACGAGTTGGGCGTCCGAGGCGAGGATGATATTGAGGAGATGGTATGAGGGAGAAATAAAAGCTTGTTGGTAATGGTGGAGTCAGGTTGGAAAGACTGCCGAGAAGAGAGTGGAATGGTGACGTGCCACTGAAGCTCTATGTTCCACTAGGAACCCAAGGGACAAATAAGAATATGACTAAAATGAAAACTTGTTTGATAGGCAATGGTATTGAAAAGAAAAGTGGATGAGAAGAAAACAGATACATAGTGGAATGGTAAAAACACAGATACACACACACACACACACACACACACACACACACACACACACACACAAAGAAACGGTCACACTTCTTTGATTGTACAACATAAACCGGGGCAAAATAATAAGCACAAGATATTGGCAAACTATGGACCCATTGTTTTTTATCTGTTAAGATAAAACTGAAATTAGAAACAATCCTTAAAGGATATATGGAACAATTGCTTTACGATATTTTGGAAAATTAGGAAATTCACGTCGATATGCTTTCAGTTTACCGATAGCCCAAGTAGCCATTTGACGAAATCCAAAAATTGTGAATAACAGAGCTAAAACATGAGAAATAAAGAGAGAGAGAGAGAGAAAAAAAAATGAAGATTTGGTTTGCATTCAGTATGATATGGCTTAGAACCGATATCAGTGGTGCAGATGCATACATGATACATAAAGATATACACACACGCAGAAGTCAGAGGTAAAGTTTTAGACAGTAGAGGTAAGTCACTTGATGCGATTGTTAATCTTCATCGACTGATATGATTGACCCCGACATGTGTTATGTATGCCCAACGACCATCTGTCTCATCATACAATGTTGACCGACGTACTTTCAGGCTGGAAAATGGTTTGGGGTGGCCACACTAAAACACGCCATCACTTCATGAAGTCCTTGAGTGTAGAGTACTGCAGACTAGCCGGTTGGCATCCACGGGATAACAGAAACTAATGGTTGGAGACTCTGGGTGATGTCATGACTGAGAACCGATATCAGTGGGGGTGGGGGCAGATGTATACACACATTATCCTCATTTTAACTGACATACATAATCGAATCATGATATCATTCTTCCTCGCTCTCTTTTACCACTTTCCACTTCCACTTCTTTCGACCAGTTTTTCTTTCCTTCTTCATCTTCCATTTCACTGCCTAGTTACGTGATGTGCTCATCTGAGGTATGTGGCAACTTGGACTGTTACCGAGTAATTCTTGGTCTTATGTTGATCTTGATGATAATGATAATGAATTAGGTGTAGAGAGGAAGGGTAAGAACATACTATACAACGTAACTGCAATCAGTGGTACATCTATTCACATTTGAAGGAAACCCAGAGGCTTCATCAGTGACATAAATACCATAGAGTGACAGATGTCAAGTGAATTTCTTGCAGATTTCATCATCTATTGTACTTCAATAGATGAAGCAACTCGTTATAAACAACTTTTTTCTATCTTCTGTGTCCAAGAAGTTTTCAAAACCTTCCATGTTTTCAGCGTCTTGAACTGAACAAGAACATACAGTCTACATGCTCCTTGTCGACTAACCAAACAAACAAAAGGAGATGAAATTCCAGAAGAATTTCATCATCATCAATATCAACGTAGGACCAAACATTACTGCGTAACGGTCTGAGTTGCCACACCTCATATAAGTACATCAAGTAGAAAGGTAGTCAGGTGAAAGATGAAGATAAGAAAGTTCAGTCAAAAGAAATATCAAGTACAAGAAGAAAGAAAGAAAGAAACAGTGAGAAAATGGTGAAATTCGGTATAGCGTCGTTAAAATGAGGATACTGTGAGCATACATCTGCCTCCCCCCCCCCCCACTGACATCGGTTCTCAACCATATCACCTAAAGTCTCCAACCACTGCTTCCCCATGTCCCGCGGACCCCAACCACTCAGTTCGCATAGCCCCAAATGGCTCAAACCACAGTCACAGACTTCATACATTGGGGCCATCTTTTAGTCTGGCCACCTCAGGCCTTTTTCCAGCCTGAACATACTTCAGCCAACATTGAGTGACGAGGCAATCGGTGACTAGACATACGTAACACGTGTCAGAGTCAACCATCTCAGTCGATCAACGTTCATAACCTCGTCAACTCACTTACCTCATCTCCCTAAAACTCTACTCCTGACTTCTGTATTACTCATGTGGTGTGGTAACACCACAGAATACGGTCTATAATACGAAGGCAACGGTGGTCAAACACCTGAGGTCAGCCTTCTTATGTCTTCCACCTTCAATAGCCATGTTTCACAGCCATACAGTAGAACAGACCGGACTCCTGTGCAGTACACGCGACCCTTAATACACAGTCGGATATCACGACGGAGCCACAGATGGCGTAAATTGGCAAAAGCCAACCGAGTCTTTTGTATCCGTGCAGAGATTTCATCCGCCACTCACCAAGGCACCAGGGCTGATCCTACTTCCCAGGTGAGTGAAATGGTCGACACACTCAACCACTTCACTCTCTATTGTTAGCCGCGGTGGGGCACCGTTGAAGACCAATCCTGGACCAACTATTTGTATTTGGGTAGTGAGAAACGCATCCCAAACATTCTCAAATTCCCACTCAAAGTCTTAACAGGACTGCATATTCTAGGTCTAACAAAAATTCTCCTGTTATCAGGTCAACCTCTGTGTAATCAGGTGATGAGAGGGAGACCTCCATAAGAATATCTATTATAAGATTGAATAAGAATGGAGACAGTGGGCACCCTTGACGGACACCACTCGATGAGCATAGCTCCCTGGACATTTCACCATAGGCTCTAACACGCTAACAAAACTGTTAGCCTCAGATGGCAAAACAAATCGATAGTAAGATAGAAAGTTACCTGGTTCCAAGGTACTGTAAAAGTATGGCTTATTGGCTCAACGACTCGACTCCAAAACTTCACTCTGCCTACTTCGTTTTTGACAAGCGGCTGCTAGTGTTGTAAGCTCTTATGTATTTAAGGTGTGACTCATAGATTGGTAGACAAATCTGCTCCCAGTAGCAGAGTTGCACTGAAGTAGAGTACACTGATTTGTCAGAAACATAGTTCCATCAATCATTTCACAATATAGTCACCAGGCTAGCAGATTCACCATTGCTATGCACTTTAGATTGATGTTAGGTGGCTGAAGACAGTCAGCAGAAACTTCTGAATACTAGTTTAGTGCTTGTTGGTACTCGTCAGTAAGGTATACCATCAACCTCGAAGCATTAAATATCCTTGTAAAGTTATTCACGTAGCATGTAGATAAATAGTGACGTCTATAGTTGTGACATTTAGAGTGAAAACTAACAAGTTGACAGAAGAAGCAACGAAGATGGGACTTCCTTCACGTCAACATAGACAACACACAAGTGATGTGATGAAGATACCCAACCAACAACAACAACAACAACAACAAGCACCAATCACCATCAACAGGAGAAATCTAAACGAAGTCATTTCTTTCACCTACCTAGTCAAGGAAGCATCGTTTCAACTACAGGTAGCCGCGCCAGCACACATGAGGATGTCACAGCCACGATCGGAATCATCGTCCACTCCACTCAGCACAAAGCGTCAACAACTTCCACATTTTCAAAATTAATTCAGTCAAGTCAGTCAGTGTTTCTATATTATATGCTTGAGAGACTTGACGTGTTAAGAAAAGTATTTCCAACAAACTACACACATACATCATCAACAACTGCCACTTACGCTCACTCCATACTGACACTGAACATCGACCAGATGGCCAGAATAATAAGAATAAGCAAGAAGGAACTCTGGTCTGGCGACCAACCAACCAACCGAGAACCTATCGCCCCACAAATATGCAGTAGAAGCAAGTGGAAATGGATTGGATTGGACGTATACTGAGAGGACCGTTTGGGGACATCACGCGTCAGGCGAGACCAGGCCATCGAGTGTAACCCAAATGGAAAACGATGAGTTGGGCGTCCGAGGCGAGGGTGACATGGAGGAGATGGTATGAGGAAGAAATGAAAGCTTGTTGGTAGTGGTGGAGTCAGGTTGAAAAGACTGCCGAGAAGAGAGTGAAATGGTGACGTGCCACTGAAGCTCTATGTTCCACTAGGAACCCAAGGGACTAATAATAAAATAAAAAATACAGTTGTGACCTTGGGTGGTGAGGTTTAAGATCTATGAGAAGACATTTTTGTTGATGTTGCAGATACGCGTTTATGACGAGTATCAACAAGCAGAAAACACAGGTACACGGGATTCTTTTGATGTACTCCAACCCACTAAAAATTAATCCTTCTCATTTATAATACATCGATTAAATAAGAATAACAATACAACTGGATTACACTATATAGCCTACCCGGTAAAGTCTGAGTCATAATCGTGAAACCAATCCATGCTATAACCTCATAGGTGTAGTTTGGACATGCCACTAAGTTGAACATACGAGTGAAGAACCAACCTGGCATTGGATAAGGTATTTGTCGAATCATCGAACCAGCTGGTCGAAGACGTTTTAACGTCAAGTGACAACAGAAATTTCCCCATTCACCGATCTACAATTATAATGGACACAAACAAAGTATATTAGTAGAAAAAAAAAGAGAGAATACATACAAAGGAGTAGTCATGCAGTATAAACACAGAAAGAAAACAGTTGAAAAATATGAAACTTTTTCTAGTACTGCCTAGTTATAGCACAGGTGTCTATTATCTCTTAATAGATTATAATCAACGCAATCCATTCCCTAAGTCAGATTTATTTACTAACCTCTGACAAATATACAAAACTAACGTAGAACCTCGGAGACAAGTGTATCACCTCAAGTTGTTACACTTCCCAGAAGTACACGAAGAACAGGTGGATAGAAAAGCAATGCTGGCAAAGTAGACAAAGTTATGTGAGAGAGGTTAGTACAAATATTCAACCTTAAAAAGATGTCAAGGAGGAAATATATCTACGCCATTGTGACGGACTCTCAACGACGTTACTAAGAGTTGTCAACTACTGATTTCTATTGTCTCGGGGACGCAAGTCAGACAGTCTACATCGCCCCATGCGAGTCAAGCCAACAGCCAGGGACTTCATCGATTGATGCTACGTCTTACTTTGGCCACCTTGAACCTTCTTTCAACCTAATCAAACTTACTCTAACACGGAACAACGAGATAAGTGATGGCTCGGCATGCGCAGTACATATTCAGAACCATCTCAGTCGACTAACGTTCACGACCTCATCAATCGACCTATTGGCCTTCCTTGTCTAGTACCCTTCGCCTGACCTCAACATTACTCACACGGTGGTTTCACCAAAAGCGTGTAATTCTACAAAGACGTCTGTGATCAAAACCCTGTGATCGTTTCATGTCCTCTACTTTTAACAGTCATGTTTCCCAACCGTACAACAGGAGGGAACAGACTACAGCTCAGTATACTCGTCCTTTAACAGGTAGTCAGATATTTCCCCAGTGGGCGCCACAGGTGGCAAGTGCTAAATGGGCCTCCTATATGCCAGCAACCAGCCCATTCGAGTTGATACAATACACAAATACAGCCTAATTACTTACTATCAATGAGAGTTGTAATTGGAACTTCATAACATAATGGTTAAATACCTGAGTACCAACAAAATCGCCTAACACAGACAATGTATAGTGTATACATGAAAAAAGTTAACGAAATACATATTAGCAGAATAGACTGAGGGCAAAAAAGTACGACTTATGGTCACAAAAGCGATATCACTTACCACCCTCATCACCCTATGTATAAAAGCGTGTTTGGTGATAGTTAAGATCACGGTTGAAGGCCTATCTTAAGATTCTTATGCATGCAGTAATTTATGAAATCATATCAGTGATGAATTGTGAGACATTCACATCTCAAAACAATCCCATCTAGTCCATACACTGAGATGACACTGCTGATAGTATAAGTTTGTATTATAGATCTAACCTTCAAGTAGTCAAGTTGCGTAGTGAAACCCTACTCTAATTTAAGCACCAATATAGTATCACCAGGGTTTACAAAGCAATGTTAGTTCATAGTCTAGTACACAAATTCCATAGGCATTTGCTGAGTTTTATCTCAGACATACTTCACATCAGTTCAGGGAGCAATCCCACCGGAGATAGATCATCAATGCATAACCGTTACCTATACCTATACAATATATATATATATATATATATATATATATATATATATATATATATATATATATATATATACAAAAGGTGAAGCTAGAATTCACTGGTTAAAGCAATCTGAGTTGCATTTCTTCTACCTAACAAGGTTTTGATAGTCACTAGATAGTAGGTAACTTCCTGTTGTCCACTCCTAAGTGTTAATGAAATTCTATCGATAGCTGTCAGTTGGATGGAGATAACCGGTAGCAAGCCCAGTTCCACTTTTGGTACTTGTCAGGACCAGAGATTCAAACCTATGCCAACCAGTGCTACAATCAGAGATGATACCACTGAGTCATTGAGGTAGCCATTGACCTTATATTGGAAGGAATTAAGTATACTGATTGATCACTGGAGGGGTAAACAACTTTACATTGTTTAGCTGAGTGGTAACTTTTCTGACTGAAACAATAGGTAACATGGATTCGAATCTTAACCGGGATGCCAGTTTAATTGAAGTCTTAAATACGCTTTGATGACAAATGCTAAAAAGTGTGAAGGCTAGATCAAAGGCTCCGCAGTGATTGCCTCTGTCACCAGCTGTCATATAAGACGTGTTGTTAGTTACTTACTACAAGAATCTACATGTTTTTTAAGTTATATTTCATCTTTCCATTCACAAAGAGACACAGACAGCGATACCGGAGGCAGTAGTAGTAGTAGTAGCACAAGTATGTACCGATCTATATTTCCAAGGTAACGATGAGAATGAAAATATGAATGTTGAAAGTAAAAGAAACACGCTAAGATGCGTATTAAAAGCTGTAGAGACTGATTTCTGTATTCAACTTGAACTAATAATTGAAACGATTCAACATTGCAGCAAGAAGTCTAACATATATTTCTTATGGTAATGAAAGAAACATATGTTAAGAAGACCCCTATAAAAAAATATATCAAACAAGATAAGAAGAAATATGTACAATAGGATTAAAATGGTATTTACATATGAAAAAACATGAACTTACTATAAACAGCAAGAAGCCAATCACAATCTGTGTATGACCAAAGGCTGAAAATAATGTAAAAATGCTTGTATAACTCCCTCAAAGATGATTAAACTGCAAAGAAGTTGATGAACTCAAAAAAAAAGAAAAGAAAACAAGATAAAAAATTAAACTGTAATCTAAACAAGACAAATACACACAATGAACTTTCTTTCTAAAGATATTTCAACTTTGTAATGATGAAAAAGATTTGTAAGTCAAGATAAGGATGATAGTGGTTTTCATGTTCTCTGAACTTTGATATTTCCTTGTGAACATTTCATTACCAGGCTTAGTGACATCTTCAGTAATTCTTTATGAAGCTGATGCTGAAGAATACTTGGGAGATAATGAGAATAACTTGCGTCTCAATACTTACCCACAACTACATTTATCAATAAATTCATAAGAAACCGAAAGGAAAATATTAGTAGTAGTAGGTAGTAGTAGTAGTAGTAGTAGTAGTAGTAGTAGTAGTAGTAGTAGTAGTAGTAGTAGTATATATATATATATATATATATATATATATATATATATATATATATATATTAGGACTATATAAAGTGTCTCAAAGTTGTAGAGTTAGTTACCTGCTGATATGACTATGGACAATAGATTGTGTCCGAAACGTAGTTATCCAGGATAAATGATACTGCCCCTTGACTGTGTGTGAAATTTCTAATAAACAGATTAAAATGGAATTGCAATCGACCACAGCGCCCAAGTTTTACTTATCAGTTAATAAACTCTCCATGTTTTACGATACATCATCATTATCAATATTAACATAGGACCAGGCATTACTGTACTGTCAGTTAAAATATCAAGTACAAGAAGAAAGAAAGGAACCGTGAGAAAATGGTGAAATTCGGTATAGCGTCGTTAAGATGAGGATAATGTGACCATACGTCTGCCCCCCACTGACATCGGTTCTCAACCATATCACCTAAGATCATTACTGAGTCATTTAGATGTTGATTCGATGAACAAAGATGCAGCAAAACAATCTCTCTATTTAACCGTATTGACCCCTAAAACTGTGACCATGTAACGCCCTATAGTGGGATTTTATTAGTCAATACATAGTAGTAATTAATGTTTTCGATTCACTTTGGGAGTTTGCGGGGACTTATTGATTTCAAGTTGGTAAACATCATGAACTGACATCAGTTGGAGGGTCATTAGAAACTTAGGAGCACTGGAAAGCCGTTTCGTCTCGATGGGGTAAACCTGGTGGTCGTGAAGGCAAATACTCAACGATGACATTGGATGCAGGTCATACTACATCGTGAACTGACAGAAGTTGGAAATGTGGACCATTGGATTCTGACCCATTGGCTTAATGGTAACGTGTTGGACACGAAACCTGAAGACCCTGGATCCGATCCCTGGAGGGCGGAGTCATGGGTGCGCACTGCTGAGGGGTCTCATACAAGGACGAAACAGCTGTCGAGTTATCCCAGGTTTCCAACGTTCATCCAACTGATGTTAGTCCATGATGAATACCAACTCATAAATTTTTTAAGTTACTTAGTAGTCTATTAATTCAAATTAAGGTGTTGCTGTACTTTGTCAACTTAATTGGTCCTGATATGTGACTCTGCTTTACTTCATTCCACAATCATCGTGTGGTATTTGATAGACTGAAATATCTTTCAATGGGTTATTGGATTCTGAAGTTGAAAAAGAGTTGTCTTCAAGTGAATCTTATAAGTTTTAATAACCCCATAAACTTGACTTTGGTAGGAATGGAACATAGGATTTTTGAAATCGACTGGAGAGGCCTTGAGCTCCTTCTTAACAAATAGGGGACAGACAGATAGACAAATAAAATTCAGGTAGAAAGTCACACACACGTCCATCCGTTTAAACTGCCACACCTTACAGTAGTAAACAAGGAATGAGTGGATGCGAACGACTAGTGTAAAAGTAGAAAAAGGTGTATGGGGAAAGGGAACTTAAAGACTAAGGCTAGTCAAAATGTCCAATCTTTAGAAGGCATCAAAGAGTGAATAAATCTGCAACACTGTGACCGATTTTCAGCCATGTTACAAAGAGTCCTCATCTACTGGTTCTTATCGTCTCAAAGAACCTAGACCCCAGACCAAGTCTTGGACTTCATGCACTTGTATCAGGTTTTACTCTAGCTACCTTGAACTCTTTTCCAACTTAATTCAACGTCTCCAAGTATTGCACATCAAGGGAGGCGGTGACGGCATGTGCACCACATGCCCAAGCCACTTCAGTCGCTAAAGGTTCACAACATTATCGAGTGATTTGCCTTCCTTGGCTAGAACCCTTCGCCTGACCTCTACACTGCTCGCATGGTGATTCCAATATCCGCGAGTAATGGTACGAAGACACTTGTGATCAAAAGCTAGTAAACGCTTCACCTTTTCAGCTTTTAACGGCCATGTCTCACATCTGTATTACAAGACATAACAACAAACTGCAGCGCCGTATGGTCATCTTTTAATAAGCAGTCCGATATTTCACCAGTAAACACCGCAGATGATGTAAGTTAGCAAGTGTCAAACTGGCCTTCTGTATCTTAGCTGAGATTTCGTCAGCAATCAGCCCGTTTGGGCTGATGTAACCCACCAAGTGAAGTGGTCGACGCATTACCATCACTTTACTCTTTATTATTAAGCTGCGAGTAGTTGCGCAGCAGTCCTGGATTACCATATGACATTTGACAAGTGCTAGGGAAACGCATATCAAACATACACAGATTTCTGCTCAACCCGTTCAGAAAACCCTGGATTTCGTCAACGTTTTCACCCAGCACGACAATACCGTCTGCATACTCCAAGTTAACCAGCTGACCTCCAGGGAGTAGGTCTATCCCGAAAAGTCAGACATACCTAAAGTTATGTCCATTAGTACGTCTGTGATGAAGTTAAATAGGAAAGATGGAGTTGAAGATCCCTGCCGAACACCAATAGTTATTGTCAACTCACTTAAAAACTCACCATAAGCCCTGACACACCTGCGCGAATTAAAGCAAGAAGCTTTGATTAACGTTTTTCACTCGCTCGGTACCCTTTTCACTTGATATTTACTAACTTTAACACAAATTAGAGGAGGATATCAAAACCTCTGTGTAGGATTCTGAATAAATTTGGGACTAAGATGACATTTAAGCCTGTGAATTCACCTCAAGAAAAACTCAGCCGGTTTCAGGATTTCAACCCAATAACAGAAAATAATCTGGTAATGTATTTCCATAGAGAGAGATCGACTGTCAAATCTAATCATTCATAGTAGGAACGAATAGACACTGACTTTAGAAATGTGCAAAATTCTGCTTCCAATGGGACCAAAGAACAAAAAGTAATCTAACCATAAAAGCCAACTTGATGACATTATGGAACAATGAATTTTTTTTCAAAACGTTATCCAGTAGATAATATTCTCCTGAAGAAAATGTGACATAGACAGCGAAACGTTGAGAAAATAATATCAAAACTTCTAGAAAACTATATAACTGTGTGGTATGTAAAATAAATCTGATATTTAATTACATTTCACTATAATCCCCAGTTTTTATTACAATGTTGAGCAGATTATTTGACATGAAAAAGTACGCATAAGCCCACTACCAACCACTCGAAATTGGACTAAGGAACATAGATGGTTCAAGCACGGTATAACCTATACATACAGTGTGAATCACTCTCTATCTCTAGACTAAGCTTTTACAGAAATGCGACAATTTCAATCATTCAAAACATTAAAATAATTAGCTAATAGACAACAGAATTTTAAAAGGTTCATGTAGTCACTAGTATGGTATAGAATTTACAATGAATATGAAGCCTGAAAATTATTCAAACGATAAAAATTCATATGCAACGTATTAAAAAGGAAACATTAGTCTAGCAAATAACCTCACTTACTGGGTGGTGTATACAAATAGTGATTTGTGAAATAAGCAACAAACAAACCAAATCCATAATAATATGAGCAATTGATGAATAGATTACGCAATGGCATTGTAGCATGAGAGAATCGATGAATGAATACACTTTCCAATAAACGTTTAATATAATGTCCACACCAACAAGCTAGAGCAACTTTTCGCAGATATAAATCAGATGACATCGGAGAAATTACATTGCTCTTAAAAAATGGTTGTCGAATAAGCCAAATAACTGTATAAATAACTAATGGTCCTGTATACTCGGCTAAAAATACTGTACGCCATCCAATCTGAGGTCCTAAGTCTTTCAAATATAAATTCACACATTCCGATGAATTTGTAGCCTCTAAATCACATATTCGTTTACTATCATTTATTGATTTCCCTCCTAAAAAGTATCAATGAAAAATGGATGATGAGAGAAGTAAGAAATAGTGAAGGTCTATACAGTTAGATAATGCGAAACATCGAATTCGAAATAAACTCAACAACATCCACGTTAGTGTAGGCGAAGAATCACACTTATAGTGTGGAGGTAATGATAATACTTGGGTGCGCAAACCTCAACAGGTGGAGCGGCACTCAAACCCGTGACTCAGTGGTTGAAAGTCAAGTATGTGACATATAGATAGACGCTTATTTAGTAACTATCCGATTTAAGTCATTTCAATTCCAATAGGTATACAGTCATCTTCTAACCGAAACAAAAGGAATGCACATAAATAATGATAACCATCTAGTGAATTTCCATGACATAAGCTTGTTAATTACTGTCGACAATCCCGATAACATTGTGGTCACCAGTTACCATTCAGAAAATATGAAGTTGGCTTTGAAAAGACGATCTCGTTGAAAGCAATGAACCTTATGTGATCTGTATGATTAAATGTCATAATGGAGAAGATATTGATGAGAAATCACGGATGTTAAACAAACTTTCTAATATGATTAACTATTATTTAAATAGTATTCCTCGTCTATAAAAGAATAGTCATCTTCACGGTGACACAGTTAAACAGCTGACTGGTAGTTATTCCTCCTGAAACTCATTAGTCAGGATTTGAGGAGTTACAACCCGATATTTTAACAGCAGGATAATCCATACATTCGCTTGAGACTGAGATCAACAATGCTGTATTGCTTCAGTGCAGAAAGTCTGATCGTATGACCCACCCACTCCCCCTTTCGGTTAACAACATGGGTAGATTCCTACAACACTGAATCAGATCACGTCTCTGCAAAATAGTGCACCATTCGATACTCTAAAGTTAACTGGACATTCAGTTACTTCGTGAAATGTAAAAAGTGGTACGTTCAGAGTCTGTTTATGACCACGCTACACTCGTTAGCGTAATACTTAACTGCAGAAACAGAAAGGTTTATGAAATGGCACTGTATTTTACCCAGTAATGCACTGGTATGCCTAATATGCTCTTCTCAGTTAGTACCAGTCTGGGAAGTCGCACCACTTTGTAAAGGTCCAAGCTGTTACATCTCTTAACACATCACTGTAGGAAGCAACATGATGAAAGATGAAGAAATAAAGAAAGTAGTCAACTGTACCAGAAAGTCGCGGAAAGGAGAACAGTAAGCGATGAAACGAAAATGAAATTCGAAATGACAGTTAAACGGAAGATAATGAGCGGACAAATCTGCGGTACTGGCATCAATTCTGAACCGTACCTATAACTCCAAACCTTGGATACTGTAGTAGAATTTAATTCGATATTAGATTTGTTCATTTGATTTATAAGTGATACAGGATTATTCACTGGATGACGCCACCAGCATCACTTCTCTTTTGTTCATAATCATAACCATTTTTATAGTCCTATCACCTCATAGTCTTTGTTTTTATTGGTAGTAAAATTTTCCATATCTCTGGTATAGGTATTGCGTCATTTCTATTACGTGTGTTGAGTGTTGATTCGATGGACAAAGACTAATCAATCCCTCTCTCTCTCTCTCTCTCCACCTAATCATATTTGATTTACGTTGAGTGGTTTTATTTCACCCACCCCATCGTGCGTGGTCGTGTGTTAATGAATCTATTGCCAAGTTCTTTTCTAGGTTGCTGATTTTATCAAGGTCTATCATTCTATATTTAGTTAAATTCCTATGTTCCACTAATCTAACTGACCCCGATCTGCTAGTTCGACCTACGTACTTTATCCGACAGTCATTACATGGAATTTAACAGACTAGATTATTTTGCTGAATTGGTTCTTTCGGATCCTTAAGCCAACTGACAAACCTTATCTCTGAGTGAGTTTGTAGGTTTAAGTACCACCTGAATTCCAGCCTTGTTGAGAATCTTACGTTAAGTTTCTTATATTTATTATAAGGGTAACACAAAAGAGGCCTTGAACTCATATGAAGAAATCACTCAAGAAAAAGCAAGATCTTTGCAGTGGTACCCTGAACACTGATTCACAACTTGACGAGTCTTCCCTCAATACTGAAAACACCAATCATTTTGCTGACTGACGTTATGCGAACCACTACTACTTTTCAGGTCAACTGGAAAATTTGTATTGAATATCATAATTTATGCATGTAGATATGTCTTAGATGGAGGAAACTTAGAACGTCACGATTATAATCGCAATGTTGGACAATTGTGGCTGAAACAAGGAAATAAAGGAGATTTCCAAACCTTTCCCCCGAAACTGTCGCATGTTTCGACGTCCAGCCGAACTTTTCACCAGCGATTCAACTTTCAGAAACTCATATACAATAGGGAAGTGTATGAAAATTTTATTATGCAACTAATGTCAAATAATCATTAACTCACGTGGCTCAAGACGAATAGATTGTCGGTTCACTTTAGGCTTTTCCTCTAGAAAAAAAACATAACGTTAGACCCATATTTGCATTACTCTCATGACAAATTCGTCTTTTTAAATCCAGAATAGTAGCGTCATTAGAGACCTAGATATTTAATTTCAAGATAGAAAGTTAACTAACATTTTCCCATGTCAAAATAAGCTTATCGGTTCTGCATTCCCGAACAAATACCTACAAATAAAGAGGAACCATTAAAGCTTGCCTTCATCTCTGAAACTTTTGGTGGGTCCAACTAAGAAAGCTAAACAGAGTGACCCTGAACTTCGAAAGAGGAGTCCAAGCTTAATAAATTGTTTCAAGTGATGTTTATCGGTGGTTGAAGACATATGTAAACTTTTAAATTTCAGCTGCATGTTAGAAAAGAAGTGAATCGTGGCTTCTTGATTTCTACACATCTGGTAACAGAATGCTTTCTTCTTGTGAAATAGTCACACTTCTTTTCTTATTTCCTGTAGGACATAAAACAAATAATCACTTAATAATTAGTCAGTTCTCTCGAGGTAATGCTGCTTTCCAAGGCCATTTGGACGATGATATTTTTCTTATGTGCAGGTTTTTTGAACCAAGAGGTCCTAAGAGGTCGTCTAACCTCTTTATGAAGACAGTGGGAGAAGAGGTTTAAGCGGCAAAAACTCCACAAAATTACTAGCCTACGACTCGAAGAGACTTGACATCAATGATCAGCTGAATAGACTTGCTAAACTGGCTTAGGTGAAGCCACATAAACAGTCATTTGCGTCACTTCGCACACTTCGATGTTATTTCACGTTGTTCACACATGGCCATCAAGCCAATTATCCAATATCCAAATCTTTTTAACGAGCTTGTGTAAACCAGCTGATTTCTTCGCGCTCGCTTCTTGATCTTGCGGAACGGCTCTAGATCTTTGGCGGATTCCGATGCAGTAGGCCCAGCCACTCGTCTGCTATAGCTCTGATTTACAGAACGGGAAGTTAAGTGTTGGTCTGTTTGCCTTGGACTGTGGTGCAGTTGGCTTCTTCAGGTGTCGAGTTGCCAGACGGTTGTTAGGACTGGCCGCTAGAGAGGGTTGGGGATAGTGAAGAGAACCTAGAAAGTGTTTGTGTGAGTGAAAGAAAAGAGGAAAAGTGAACTGAGGGGGTAATCTACTTACACCCAAGTAAGGTGAGTAGGGGTGCAAAGATATGAAGAACTTAGGTAAGTGAGACTAACTTATGACAAGTGGAAGGCGTGAAAATGGCCTAAACAGTTGCAATAGAAGGAAAGCTGGTTAGGGTGGCTTGACATCACTTCGTGTTCCAGCTAAGTGTAGGTGGATCGTGAGTCCCTTCATGACTGTCTATCCTCTTCGTGAAGCTTTCAACAGTTGGGGCGGAGACCACCTCTGCTGGTAGTGCGTTCCAGTACCCACAGGCTCGGAGGGAGAAGAACTGTGAACGCACATGCGTTTTTGACCTCTGGTGTGCTATTCTTTTGGGGTTTCCTCGAGGATCTCTATAGTGACCACTCGGTAGGACTCCACAGTTTGGGTGACTTGGGTTACCCATTATTTTGTAAGCCATTACTAGGTCGCCACGAATCCCTCGATAGCTAAGGAGGCATAGACCCAGGTCTTTGAGTCCGTCCTCATACTGTTTTTGTTGCATTCCAACAACCCCTTTTGTGGCTCGCCTCTGGACTTCCTCCAGTAAGTTCGCGCCTCTTTTCAGCTGTGGTGGGGCGAAGACGTTATGGACCTCTAAGTGGGGCCGTATGTAAGTCTTGTGGAGCTTCGGAAAAAGTTCTGGGGTGAGGGCACCCAGTTGTCTACGCACAAAGTGTAGTACCCCACATGCTTTTGAGACATCACCTGGGTAATTGGAACTGGCGTCCAGTCTCTCCGTCACCGTTAGACCTGGGTCTTTTTCTACTGTGGTATGGGATAGACGTAAACCACGGAGGTAGTAGGATGTCTTCTGGGGATCAGGAGTGCGGAAAAACATGGACATGCACTTATATAGATTAAATGCCAGTTCATTATTAGTTCCCCATTCCTCTAGTGTTCTGAGGTCCTTCTGTAATGCCATAGATTCCGCCTCGCAAGTTGTTGCCCTCCATTACTTGACATCATCAGCGTATAGGAGAATCAGGGAGCTGATATGTTGGGGTAGGCCATTCACGAATAGTAGGGGCAACAGTGGGCCCAAGACTGCTCCTTGTGAGACACCGGATGAGGATGTTCTCTAAGTTGAGTAGACCCTGTTGACTTTCATGCAGAACTCCCCACTGTCTGAGTAGTTCTGCGGCGACGATAGCGCCTGGCTTCGAATACCTAACCCACCTATCTTGTGCATTAGGATATGGTGTGAGACGGTGTCAAAGACCTTGGCGAAGTCCAGAAAAATTACGTGGACCGGGACCTTGAGATCCCGGCATGCTGTCCAGTGATCATGGGCCGTCAGAGGGTTGGAGACACAGGACCTACCCTTTCGGAAGGCATGTTAAGCGCCACTGAGTGCTCGCCTGGTGTCCAGATATTCTCCGATACGGTCGTCCATCACACTTTCCATTACTTTTGATATTACTGGTAGAAGTGCTATGGGTCTATAACAGTTGAGATTCTATCTATCTCCTTCCTTGAAGATGGGAGAAAAGATGCCCCGTTTCCACTCTCGTGGGAGCCTTTGCTCATCCAAGGAGTATTGGAAGAGGTCACAGAGTGGGCCACTTTGGGTACTTGCGCATTCTTTCAACACAGATGGGCGAATGTCGTCGCACCCTGGGGATTTTCCCCCACTTAACTTTAGTAGCTTGTCGAGAACAACAGCACAAGTTATCTGTATTTCGTGTAGCCCAGTAGCATCGGGTAACGTTGGGGGCTGCTCGTGCAATTGGTATGCGCACTTTCTTGGTGGAATGTTGAGCTGTGTGTCAAATGTGGTGCTCAGCATTCCAGCAGTCTCCTGTCCAGAGGGGTTTTCTCCTTTCGGACCTTTTAGGACACATGCTCCTTGGCTTGTCGGTTTTCTTTTTGCCATGAATCGGTAAAGGTTTTTGGGGTTCACCCCAAGCATCTTGGCGAGGTTGGACTGGAACGACCTTCCGTCTCTCCACACCCTTATGTTGCTTCGATTCCGTAGAGTCATGTATGCGTCACGGTCTTCCCGTTTTCTGGACAGTCTCCATGTGTGCTATGCCCTTCTCTTGGCTCTTGGAAGGCGCTCAGTGCCCCGTTTTGGCCAAGAGGTCTGCTTTCTGGTTGTTGCTACCGCCAAAGGGACGTTCCGCGAGACGGCCGCCTTAATGATATCTTTTACCAGTTCCCAGTGCTGGTCGAATGATAAGGAACACCAATCCGCTGGCTACGGAGCTGCTGAAAGGCTCTTGTTCATACCTTCGTAATTTGCCTTGTTGTAACATAGGTAGGGGGGAGGTCCCTCTCATGATAGCTCTTCACTAATTACTAGGTCAAACATTACCACAGCGTGATCGCTACTTCCAAGAGGGGTTTGTATTTGAACGTTCTCATCCAGAAAGGGGATCACTAGTCAGCGGGTAATCCAGTTTAGATGGTTTACCATCTGACCCCCAGCGGGTGTTGTCGCTGATTTTTTCCTGCAGTCCAGCCGTTTGGATGGCGTTTAGGAGGTTACAGTCGAACTTTCGGCTCGGGGTAGTGCCACCTTGCTCCAGGCTGGGGGTTGGAGCGTTGAAGTCGCCAGCCATTAAAATCTGGTCGTACCCTACGGTTGACACCGTGGATATTGCTTGGTTGCGTTCCAAGTTGCTATTAGGGGACCTATGGATTCCTCCAACTGGGAATTTGGCGTGTTTGACGGTGAAGTGGCACCAGATAGAGTCTGGGAGCTCTGTCGGTGCCATGTCAGTGGTTTGTTCACTTCTGAACCACTTGTTCAAGTATATTGCAACCCCCCCGTCCTTACGTTCTCTGTCTCTCCTGAACAGGATCATATCATCTGTGTTAAATTCGGTGTCACTTATGTCTGTTGACGACCGCGTTTCTACAAGGATCATGATTTAGTATAAATCCTTCGGTATTTTGGTTTGGCCCGTAGAATGACCCACTGTTACCTGGCTACATTGCTGCCAAAGTTGTGTTGGGGCTATATAGGTAAGAATATGGACATGAGACAGTTGAGACCTATCGGAAAAATCCATTATTTCTAGAGATTTTATTCTTCAGTCTGAACTACTCGTTTTTCTGTCAGTGTTGGTAAAGTTTGCTTATACTCTCACAAATCGGGAGCTGAACCACGTTTTGGTTAGCTTAGTTACGCATACCACCTATTAGCAGGTGTGAAGTTATTCTACCGCAGTCCACAGACGAGAGAAATTTATTTCAGGCATCTCTGTGGAGCTGAGTGGAATTGGATTATGTGGATGTCTAGATTTTGACGAAGGGTTTAAATCCACTGGGGATTACACGTACAGATTTACTGCCCCCAATGTCGCTACACTTGGTGCCAAACCCGAGAAGGGACAGGTTTCGCAGAGTGACTCGCCAGTGAGAAATGTCCGGACAGCTCGCTGTGAAACCTCTGTAGGGGACGTGGGATCATGACCTGGCATACTCACTGTTGTACTTTCATAATTTTCAGTACTGTCATAGACTAAGGAGTACCTTCGGCTTATAGAGGTGGCTGCGCACTTGTGGGCCACTGAGTTGAGGCCCCACTGGTGTTCCTCCCAAAATTTAGAAACTCTGTTTTTGGCAGCAAGTTCACACACGAACCGGTATGTATGCCCGTCGCAGCTTAGCAGCGGAATTAGTTTACATATTTGATCACAGTGTCAGACAGCTTTCCTTCGAGAGCTTGCAGAAGACATCTTATACATTCTTCTGTTAGTGTTTGGGGTGTATTTATTGACATAGAGTTATTCCAGTGGTTCACGAGTTTGAAAAACTTGAAATTATGGTTGAAAATGTGCATCGGTTAAGATTTCTTTAGCCGTTTTTCCGTTTACATACCATAGCTAGTATTTTGCATGCAGAAGCAGGCCGGATACAAGCGATACAATTTTGAACTGCTGCTTCGTCAGATGTGTCTACACACTCTCACGCAAGCAGGCGAGTTGGGGGGGTTCCTTGGCATAAGCTCTTAAACGTTAATTATGGCCCGATGCATCGCATTAATCTGTCTGAAGAGGGAGACGCCGAACATACAGCATACATGAAACGTTTGAATAAATCTTTCTGTCACGATCACACGTTTCGGATGCGAAGTGGGGTATTAGGTACACTCCGGAATCAGAAAGTTAAAGAAGGCCTCCATCTTGTCTTCGGATAGTCATCCATGTATGGTGGGTACGCAACCCTAGATCTTTCAGTACGGCGACTGATACTTTCGGAGCAGCTGTAC